TTAGTTTATCGAGAGATGAGAAAAAAGTTATGGAGTGTATTATTAGAACCGTATGGTCAAAATGACCAAAGTCCATTGGCTCTCACTCCTTTTCATGTTTCTTTCCTTTCTGTTGACTGGGTTCTTGGTTTGGTTGTATTCAACTTGGTGTCAATCCAATAGTCAACAGCACTAATTGTAACACCTTTGGGGTCAGTCCTGGTTCACGGCAACTAATTGTTGCCCTATATCCTCCCTGGTTGTTCAAGTTGTCCAATACTGCAGCTGATTGATGGAGTGATCTTTTCTATCCTGGACTGCCTTATCTCAGGTTGTGATTTAGTTTGATCATAAGGAGGCCAAAATCAATTCGTCGTAGGTATCTTCGTATTGGACTGGTCCAGAAAAATAACACTTGAATAATATAAAAATATATATACTATCTTTATATCAAGTACTACGTACAATAGTTGGTTAATTGTTGTTAGAGTCTAGGTGTTAGCATACAGGCATTTGTCAACCCAACCCGCTTCCTAAATCAGATGTGACACTTTGTTAAGTTGGCAAGGTTTGTTTTGCAGATGCAGTAAAGTTTGTTTAGCTGACTTGGTAAGTTTGGCTCAAGGCTCATGTTGGGAGTTTGCATTGGCAGTTAGTCACATGCATTGTCTCGTACTTGGTGGCTGGAACAATTTTTCTCAAACTCACTTGAAGCATTCGTATTTATTGATGCTTGCCCAAAATTGTGTGGGGGTGTGAGGTGGCTAGGTGTCTAGCATTTTCCCTACCTGTCACAAAGAACCCCTTCATTGACTGGGTTCTGGGAATTAATTACTTCCTAATTTGGAAGTCTCCCCCTTTTCTCGGTAACAGTCATAGGCCTTAATTTGACCCAAAACTTCTACCTTCTCTTCTTAGCATCTCTCACTTATACCCCTCTTTGGGTGTGAGCAGCTCCTCCTCATTCCTTGGTGTCTCCTCCTCATTCCTTGGTGTCTCCTCCTCATTCCTTGGTGTCTCCTCCTCATTCCTTGGTGTCTCCTCTTCATTCCTTGGTGTCTCCTTTGTGCCTGCTACTCTTCAGTGGGTGCGGGCAGCTTCTCCAACTTCCTTGGTCTCTCTTCTGTCCCTGACATTCTTTAGTGGGCATGTACTGCTTCTCCACCTTCCTTGGTTTCTTGCCTGTGCCTACTATCTCGACCCCCCAGCAAAGACTAATTCCAAGTTCGTTAATTAAAAAGAATTATTACCTTGTCACCAGTGTTGTTTCTTCCTAGTCTCAGAGTAGAACAAAAAACAGATGGCCTTTTCCAAGGGAAAACCTTTATCTTTATATTCTGTTTTGTTTTTAATTCTTATCTGATTCCATCCATCTCTGGCTTCAAGGCTAGCATCATTGTGACAGTCATTCCCCAAAATGTCAAAATACTGCCATGTGTTTCTATTATAAAAATTAAGTCAAGAAATTATTATTTTCAAACTTGTCGCTTCTGCAGAGAAATTCTCTAAGTCAGTTTTATATTTCTTTGTCATCCGAAATCAGACACTGGCTACATGGCCCCCTCGTGTTCTTTGGCTCACATCAGTGAACCTTATCACCAAATTGTTATTTCAAATTTTATCCAACTCTCTTCACCTTGGTTCCACAGATAACACTCTTTGTGGGCGTTATTAATCAATTGTCAGCATATCGCCTGTTGTAATAATTAAGTATTGCTCCCAGCTAGTTGTCTTGTTCGTTTTAAAATTTTCAATTTTCTGAGTACGTGATAGTTTATTAGTATGTCATTCCTGCTATTCAAAAACCTTATGCATATTTACTAGCAACCAAAATAGTGCCACATCCTGACGAATGACTTTTACTCATTAAAGATGGGAAATTTGCCAATCAAGTATGCTATTATTATTTTTATTTTCTTTCTAGAATGAGTCCCAAGTCAGTCTGTTTGTCTATTGTCTTCCTCTCTTCTTAATGATCTAAATGGAAATCTCTTGGCATAATAATTTTTCATTTGTAAATTAAAAAAAAAATATTAAATTCATTTCTGTCTTTAGTTATCTAATTTAAATTTTTTAAATTGTTTGTAAAAATGGAACTATTTTTGTAATTTTATTTAAAATTAATTTATTTTGCAATGTTTGCATTAAGTGTGCATACAGCCTTATACATAATTATTTGAAACATTAGCTCTGTATGTATCATATTAGTGTTGTTGTCATGAGCTATTTTATATTTGTAATGTTGGGCACCTGGAGGTGGTGTAATAGTTAGCAAGCTTGTCTCGCTAGAACAATTACCACTGAGTAGTGAGTTCGATTCTCACTGGGTGCCCCCTACTTTCGGCCTTGTGCCACATCTGAGCTACGCTTGGAAAATCACTATATTTGTAATGTTTTTGTCTAAAATGTTTGCATTACTTTTTATTGTTCTACTAGAAAAAAAACATTAAAATATTTTTAAATTTTACAAATAGGAGCAGATGCAATTTTTTTTCTGCTTTAAAATAAGTTCTATGAGAAACAAATAAGATTTGGGGTTTTCTGATATCTTTATTCATTCTTATACTATGAAAATTAAACTTTTTAAATGGTTAAAGGTCTCATTGGTTTTAAGAAATTCAACTTTTATAAAGATTAATATATGCTTAGATGTCAGATTGATAGTAAAAATTTTATTTCAATATTGATGTTTCACTTAACATTTCTATTCATGAAATCATTATCATGTTTTAGTGCTAAGTTATTATCTTGGTTTTATTTGATAGACTATATAAACTATATATATATATATTTCTAAAGAATTAATGGTTTTTATTTTTTGATCCAACATATTTTTATTATTTCAAATGTTATTTTTAGTGGATAGCCATATTTTGAGTATACACTCCATTTATTTTTTTAAACAGTATTTATTTTATCTACTAGCCTGCATACTTAAGAAAACTTAATAAAGAAAATGTTCCCTTTGGGAAGATTCAAGCTTGTATCCCTCTTTGCAGCATTAATCACTGTCTGATCTGACATGGTTTTATTGCTCAACTATGCAGGGCTTCACAGTAAAGAAAGGTTCTATGGAGGGGAATGCAGGTTCAAACCCTGCCAGAGGACATGTTTTCTTTATTACGTTTTCCTGAGTATGTAGACTAGTAGACTAAACAAATACTATTTGAAAAAATAAATGGAGTGTCTACTCAGATGCAGGTATCTGCTAAAAATAATGTTTGAATTAATAAAAATAAAAAGATATCTGTAATTCATCATTTGGCCATAGCATTATTTTCTAGCAAAACTTAACTGTAAGATTATATTTTGTCGGATAAATGTTTTTTTTTGTTTTTTTTTTTGTTTAAGCAATTGATTTGTCTAGTATGAAAATCAGGGTATGTTTTCTACTCTGTGTGTATGTTTTTTATGGAAATAGCCTAATTTGGCAAAAGATTTGTTTATATATTCAGTAAAGAGTTAAACATTTTGTCACTCTTTTAAGCAACCACTTCCCTTCTGTAATATCTAGTGATGTCTCACTTCAATTAGTAATTATTTTTATAAAATAATTTTCCAAGTAATTTATATGTTTAACTTGTTTGTTATCTTTTACTATGTAGGAATTATTTTTGTAGGTTTAGTTTGTTCCTCAAAATTAAAATCCAACAAATTTATATATCAACATTTGCTTTGTGTGTGCAGACAAGTCAGTTTTCAATTTCAATTGCCACATGCATTAAACTCACCAAATAGTGAGAAACAAAATGTATATTTATTATTAGTATAAATTTTACCTCTGTTATTTTATATTGAGCATCTGACTAGAACAGAATAGGGAAATACAAACAAAGGAAAGATTTGAATAATTACAATGACTGAACTTGGCTTTCCATGTCCATTCACTGGAACCAGTGTGATTGAACTTGGCATCCTATATTCAACCTCTGACTAATAAAGGTGCCATAGTACCCTTGGGACAGTCCTAAAGAAAGCCCTCACTGAACTATGAACATAGATCCACCGCCTCCAACCACAGATATTTTACCAGGCAACTTGATCCTTGAGAAGTCAAATTTAACTTGCAAGAAGGGTTGACCACCAGCCATAAGAGCACTTGCACTACCTACATCCCCAGTGATTCAGGTGGCCAGTTTACTTGTCTCCAAAATGAATCTTTGCTTTATCCCTGTTGTCTGTTGAGACAGTGTGGGTAATGACTTGGCATGCAGTGTTCATGTTCTGATTGAATACTAAACATTCAGAATACCTTATTTAGACAGAAACCCACAGCAACAATCACAATATACACATCTTCCCATAGTTAGCAATTAAGTAAGACACTGAACAAAGAAATAATTCTCAATATGAAAAAATATTAACAATTGACTGTTCCTACCTGAAGATAACACCTCCAAGTTTCAAAACTCCTTTTTCTCTATCAAAAGAATACATGCTCGGTGTTCCTATCTCAGCAATAATGGTAGCCATCTTCTCTAATGGAAGCTGGTATGGTTTCTGCTGAGTAATACAAAAAATCTTTCAATAGAAAAAAAAAAAAAAATTGATATTTAAAAATAAAATAATAAATGCTAATCTAGTGCCTGACCCAGTCAGCTAACTGACATATGGACACCACTGTTTCTTTTGCTAGTACAGTGAATAAACGCAGTATCTCATGTTTGACTTCTGCTTGAGTAATAAACCTTTCAGTAAAGACCTAACACAAACAAAAAGCAAAACAATTGACTTTTACTAGTATATTACTAATGAAGTTTGTGCATTGTTTATTTGGTATACATTTCAGTATATATGTGAGTATTTTATTATGAATCCCTTCCTCTGTCATTTTAATGAACATGATCCAACCTGGAAAAATATATTTTCTTTTTAGTTATGTATGTCTCACTTTTCTTCTTGTTCCTTCATTTTATCTAGTTTCTTTGCTGTCTTCCAAATCTGTATCAAAGCTTGACTATTTTCAGTCATTTTTAAATTCATCTTCTAAGATTTTGTTTTCACATTTTTATCGTTTATAGGTCATACATTCAGTATTTTCCTCATTCACCCACAAGCTGTCTTCACACGAACAAGTCACAACCTTTTTTGGTAATGCCTAAGCAGTTTCTTGGCTATCGGCGAGCAGATGGATGTCCTCAAAAAAATCAAGGTCAACAAAATTGTTTCTGGAAAATCTGGGAACTGATGATCCTTCTTAATGAATCACAGGTTTCCATCTCTTTCTACATTCTTTCTAACTTGCACTATTAGAAAACCCTCCACCTTTTCTACAATATATTTTTGTTTGTGATCATTCTTATTTTCATATAAATTCCAAATGATATAAAATACTACTTATCAGAGATCAAACCAAATTGGAAATTTTATTTGTTCAATGAATACCTTTAGATAGAAACAGATCTTTTTGTTAAATAAAATCAGTTTTGACTTAGAAGACCATAACTAATTAATGCAATGGGAAAAGACAAAATTTATTGGAATAGTTTGTTTTCAACAAATTTTATTTAATTCTATATTATGTAATGGCCAACTTGTTTCTCTTTAATGAATATTTGAATGAGTGTATCACCTATCATTTTACAATTGTTGCAATTGTGCCCTTAATTAAAACATATTCATTTCTATTTGTCTATCTTTTTGTAGTTTTAGTTTTTTTAATTTTATTATTTTAGTTTATTAGTTTTCTAAAGTTGGTTTGTGATCTTTGATATAAAATCATGCTCATGCATTTTTTAATTATTTTATTCTAAAGGAAAGGACAAGCAGTAAGTAAGGTTAAATTGTTGAAGTGAACAGTTCTATATTTGGAAGTGTTGATAAAAAAAAAAATGAAATTTTCTATACACTGCCATAGTTTGACAGCCTGAGTAAAATTGCAATAAAAAGCAAGTAAAAAATTTAAATGAAAGAAAATTGCTAGTCAAAATTAAACATTAATAAAATTAAAATGTTATTGGTTGCATTCCATTCATAATAAAACCAATAAAATGTTTTTGAGTCTGACATCATTTAAAAGAAACACAATGCACAGTTTTGCTATATCCTAAATCTAACTTAATTTATGCATTTATTTTTATTTTTTACTGATTTTTACCGGCTAAAATAAGGAATAATTAAATGATAAAATGGAAAGAATTCCATGTAGTTTTTCTAAAATATAATTGAAATCAATTTTAATTTAAATTACTGGATGGAAAAAAAAATTGTCTATAGGTTTCAGAAAATTATACCATGTTTGTCTGATTTTAATCTTCAATAAGAATGAATCTGAAAGATTTGTAAAAATTTATCTTGAGAAATGTATTCTCTCTTAAAATGATTGCAGATTTTTTTAATTATATAATTTTAAATTAGGGATTAAATAGATGTTACTGTTTTCTTGAATAAATCTGTTAAAATTGTTATTTCTTCAGGTACCATTATTGTGCCTGAAAGATTGTACTGACTAAAAAATATTGTCTTTACAGCTATGTTTCATCAACCCTAAGTCTTAAATTACTTTCAGAAGTTAAATGAAGGAAAAAAGAAATACATTGTAGATAAGATTAAAAAAACATCTTTTTGCTAAAATGGTATTAATTTAACATCTTTAGCATCAATGGATTTTTTTCACCTTCCAAAATGGCAAAAACATTGCAATCCTTTATTGCTGAAGATATTAAATTAGGTACCTCCATGAGATTGCTAAAAAAAAAGAGCATAGCATGATAAAAATGTTATCGTCTAAATGTTTATATTATTATTAAGAGGAAAGATCAAAGTTTATTTTAATTATTTTTTTAATTTTTCCTTCTTTTTAGAACATTCTAAATTTTGATTAAAAAAAAAAACAACTTGTTTCTCTTTGTATCACCGGAACTAGTAAAATAACATGTACAATGTTTAGCACATTTTTTTTTTATGACGCACATTAATTTGGAAAATCTTGCAAAAATAAAAAATAATTGTCGGATGTTAATGAAACTTTCAGAAACTATTCACAGATGATCAGAATTATTATAAATATGATTTTTTTTTTTTTTTTTTTTATTTATTTATTACCCACCCCAAACTAATTTTATGAAAATACTAGAAATTCGATCACGTCAGGTTTAGTGATTACAATAGTTAAAAGCACAAGGCTTTGAGGAATGCAAATCATGCTTTTTTTTGTTGCTTTTGGACCCCCCTACCTGAAAATCAGCTCTGAATTGTAACATACAAAACTCAATAAAACAAAGATATTATTTAATTTCAAATGCTTTTATTTGCTTTTAGTTTTTTTATGAATATGGACAATATTTTCTGAAAGCAAAAAATTTTTTTCAATGAAAAATGAATTTTTAATACAATTATTTGTTATTTTTTTAATTATAATAGATTTTTTACATTTAAGTTGTTAAAATATTATAAAATTAGTTAAAAGCCATTTACCCTTTTCATAAAAAGTCCTTATGAGATAGATCTTTTTTAGTTGTTTGTATCATTTTGACTAATCAGAAGATGTAATTAAGAAAGTAATTTTGTGTTTATAATCAACCAACCAGAATACTATTAAGTTGCGTTATTTGAGTTAAGCATTGTTCTCCGCTGTTAAGGCCTTTACTTTTGTGAAACACATGTGGAGAAGTTAATTTGATTTTTCAATTTCAACTGAGAAGCGTACCTACAAGTATCAGTATCATCTTATGAAATTTATATGATCTTATTTTTATATTAATCTCAGTTATGACATTTTTCCATAAATGAAATATCAAAATTAATAAAATGAATGCAAATACAAATAACAGTAGAATGTAATAAATGTACATAAAATTATAGTATTTTATGTACAATTCTGATAAAATTTCATAAGAAAGGTATCTATAAATTAATTAGATACCTTTCTTACGAAATATGAAATTTAATCTCACTCTTAAAAGACTTATTTTAATTTTTTTATAATATATTTTCCATAAAGCATTGTAAACGTAAAGGTGAAAGTTAAGTACAAAAAACAAAAAAAGAGCGCTGAAAGTTTTCCTTAAAAATAATGAGGTAAATAATTTGTTCACTTAAATGTAAATAATTTCACTTTTCTCCTTCCGTATAACAAATTATCCTCACGGAATCTGTCAATATGTCATCACCTGTCAAGTGACACGAAAATTTATGACCTACTTTGTTTTATTTTCAAATTACATCTTTTCGGCACAGAAGCTAAGTTAAGCTTGGTTCAAAATATTTTAAATAAACATTATAATTTCTAATTTTCTTAAAATAAGTTTTAAAAAAATGATAATTGATATTTAAAACAATTTCAAAGGAAGATTTTCAGTTTTTTTATAAATGGAAAAAAAATGGTCAATTTTGCTGACTCAAAAAAAAAAGATTTTTTAACAAAGATTTTGGACGTACTAGGAAGGATTAAAACATGTAAAAAAAAAATACCCCCCAAATACTTTGATCTTTCCTCTTAATAATAACATAAACATTTAGACGATAAAATTTTGTTTTCACCAAGTTTGGCATCTTTTTCTTCATGCTATGCTCTTTTTTTAGTGATCTTGTGGAGGTACCTATATTTTTAAAAAGATTTATGAAAATCTATAAATATTTTAGTTGGTTTAAGAGAGATTTCATGTGCCACTATCATTACTGCTACCTTTCTCATATCTCCTTGCTTTAAACTGTATATTATGTCTAACTATAAAAAAATATTTTACCATTATTTTTAATATATTGTATAATCTTTTTCTTTTTAAATCTAACTTTCAAATATAAAAACAAATAATGTGATATTGTTAAAATTTCAGGTTAGCAGTGGAAATTTAATTTAACATTTGCAATTACCAATTTTTGTATTGGGATATAAGAAAAAAATAGCAAACAAATATTTAATTTTTATTTCTGGTTAATTATGTAATGAGAGCAGTTATTTTTATCTTTAACACATACAAGAAAGATGACTAAATATTTTTCTCCTGCTTATTTATTTCTTAAAGCTCCAACTGCTAGAGGTCATTCTAGCTTACTTTTACAGATTCTCTTATACACAATTTTCTTGTTAATTTTGATGCTAATTTGTGTTTTGTACAGGTGAAGATATGAGTCAACAGTCTTACTCTGGTGGAGACAGACATGTTGACAAGGTGCTTCATTCGGGAGGAGATACTCCAACCTCCTCTCGAATTTCTGCCCAGAGTAATCGACCAACCCATATCTATCCACAACCATCTTCACATCAAACTACAGATCATATTAATACTTATCAGGTGTGTGACAATTTTCATATTTGATTCATGTAAAATATACTGAGGGAATCCAAAACTATATATAATTTGTAATACCCACTTTTGAATAGTACCGCTAACTTCAAATTTCATCTGCCCGAGGAGTTGAAAAGAATTAACTTAGTTTTCTAGCTATAATATGCTTTTTAACATTTTAAGTTTTTTGATATGTAAATCTATTACTGCAATAGCATTGCAGAGATTAAAAATTTAATTTGATTATTAAAGCCTTCATTGCAAGCATCAATTCTTGGGTGCTTAATCTAAGGTAGGGAATTTTTTTTAATTGAAACTCAGATTGCCTCATCAATGTACATCTTGATGAGCAGAAAAGAGGAAATGGTTTACAATTTGTTTGAAATCTTTTGTAAATTAGATTGGCTTAAATTTGATAAACAAATTCTTTTAAGTGACATTGTTGACTTATAGGTTTAAGAAGAATTTTTTCTTAAATTGTATGAATTTTAGATGTAATTGTTAACATTGTTTTTTTTTTTTTCTCTCAATAATTCTACCAAAAATGGCCTTTAAGCATTTCTTTCATTGTTATTCTAATACTTTTCTCTTTAGAAAACTTCTACATCAGTTGCAGCTGCTACTCATTCTTCTATGTCCACAGTTCCAAACATCCTTACATCTACTGGTAAGATGTATTACTTTTATTAAACTGATTTAATCTATAGATTTGTGAGAGAATTTGGCATTGATAAAAATACAATTTTTTTCATTGATTATTTATTGCTACAGATTAGTAAATTTACAACAATATTGCCTATTTTGCATTTGTAAGAAGTAAGACATCTTCAAAAATTGTTTTCTTGTTTGTCTTTTTTAAATTCAGTTTTTCCTAGTTTAGGTATCTATCTATTTTTAGGCATCATTGGCAATAATTTGGAAAATGTGAAAACATCCAGTACATCCAGCACCTCAGTGATTGGTCACTCAAGTCCAGCATACTCTGTACATATGCAGCAGTTTAGGCCTCAAGGTGTCCTTCATTTATCCACTACTATCGGGGCTAGTGAGACCACCACCGCAGCCCAACCCATCTCACTTAATGTCAACTCTACATTTCGAGGTGGAGGAGTTGGTAGTGGTGGTGGAGGAGGAGGGTCATCTACTGAGGGACAAGCGACATCCACTACACATCATACACCAACATTCACATCTCATTTACCAAGAGGTTTGTTTTTATTTTCTTTTAATTTTTTGTCATATTAATATTTTATCAGTAGCATCTGTCTGTTAATTCTTGTGAAAGACATTTAATAGCAATAAAATGAATTAGTACCTGGAATTGTTTAGGTTTGAACTCATGACTTAAAAGGATTTTACCTAGTAGGACCAAGTAAAATAAACACCTGCACCTCACTTTGACTTGCACCTAGAAAAATAACAATTGCAATAAAGCAGTTGGCTCATGCTAGGTCAGAATTTTGTCATTTTTTAATTTTGCCTTTATTGTCTACTGCAGTAAAGAATCCTGCCGACTCCATTGGTGTATGGATTGGGAGATGAAATCATGAAAACCCTTTCTCTGATTCTGTTACTATGCACATATGCAAATCAACTAGTCACCTGATACCTAAAAGAAACCTGTTCTTTACCATGAGATGAGTCTTCTATAATCTGAGAGAGCCAAGAGTTAGGTTTTTACCTTCTGACCAGCCATTCACTAAGACTGTTTTACTTCATGTATCTAGGAAGAACTCTGGTGTTATCTCTGGTCAGTTAGTATCCAATGATGTGATAAGGAATCCTCTATGTAAAAGCTGAATAGTTGTGTGTGTGTGTGTGTGTGTGTGTGTATGTATATATATATATATATATATATATATATATAAAAAAAAAGATAAGCCAAGTGGCAAGATCAGGCTGTTAATACCTTAAAGCTTTTGCCCATCGGGAACAAAAAAGGGAAAGTAAATAAAGTTTAACAATAGAGTAGACTTGTGATCTTGCATGTCTTGGTTATTTATTTGATAAGAATTGACATCCATTGCTTTCAATTTCAACTAACTCTGGTCTTTTAGTAACATGTGCAAACGAGGCAGGGGAGACAATTTAACTAGGATCAATGTCTTCTCAGATCAATAATCACAATATTAGTGACTTAATCTCTGGTTGAGTCTAAAATAACTTGCCAGCTAATGTATAGTATCATTTTTGTGATAAAAGCTTTGGTTCAGTTTTTTTCCTGGAGATACAAAATAAGCAATTAATTGGCATTCGATATAAGGTCTTTACAGTTATTTAGAGCAAAGGTTTAATGAGTAAACTGGATTTGAGAATTTTTTTGTCAGTAGAAAAAATTCATTGTCTCCTTGAATTCTTCAAACTGTTACTTGGCAAAAAAATTTCCTTCTCATATATATATATATATATATATATATATATGTTATGGTGTTAATTTGGGGTTAATAAAGACAAATGCCAAATAACATGTAACAATAAAATGGGGTTTATTCGGTTGGTAAGTTGGTACAGAAATCGCCTGAGTAGTCTATAACTAACTCAGCCCAGAACTTCTCCGACACTGTCTTTTGACATGCCACTATTTAACGTCCTTGTTTGTAGACGAGTTCATCTTCAAGAGGGGTGGTAGGTTCCTACACAACAATATATATATATATATATGTTTGTGTATTTCTGGTTTGTGGGATAGGAGTTCTCATTTTTAAGTCCAATCATTTTTTTCATTTGAAATAGTATGAAATAGTAGGCACATTTATTAAATATTAAAAAAAAAAAACAAAAAAAAACTAAAAAGTTCCAAATTTGTGTTTTCATGCTGTTTTTTTTTTTTTTTTTTTTTTTAATTTAATAGTAGTAATATCAAGTGACAAGTTTGATTCCTGAGCTTTACTTTTTTTTTTTCTTCTTTTTTATTTTTAGGTGCAGCAGCTGCATCTGCACTTTCTGTGCCAAAACCAGGTTCTAGTATAGCTTCAGTAGCCACACCTGCTGCTGTAATGCGACCAAATACACCAACTATCATTAGCAATACTGGTTATTCACAGATCAACCGAGCCTCATTAATCTCCACCATTAAGCAAACCACTCCACCATCAAGTGTACGGGCTGGTCAGTCAGGAGTTGCTCCTGCATCTCAGATCATTTTGCGACCAGAAAAACCACGGTAATTCTTTTTTATATTAATAATTTCTCTTCAGTTTTACCCAAAGCAAAAATTAAGAAAAACACTAAATTGAGTGAAAAATTGAGTGAAAGAATCTCAAGCTTTGTTTAATTTTAAAGAATAAATTTATTGTTGTTTGAGTTTACTTGTGTATTTTCCTTTTTTGTTTCATATCAATTCTTATATAACATTTTAACTATATTTACACTCTTTTTATCTATGCCTTTTAGAAAATGACGAGATTCTAAACCTGCTAAGCTTAATTTGCAAATTCTTGTGGTTCCTGTCTTCCTTTATTTTGCACTATTTATTCATCTCAATCTCTAAAGTAATCCTGATAAAAAAAAAAATATGCCATTATTTATTCTTACCAGGTTTCAGGAATTGTGACATCAAACTTAAACTTTTGGCTATAACATTATCTAGGACTTTTGGTGTCAACCTTGAAAACCAGCAAATTTTTGCTTTTTTATGTGCCTATATGAAGGCAAAACTATTCACAATTTATCTTTCTTCCCTGTTAGATCTGGTATATATGGTGATGGCACCACTGTAGTCCCTGCTGCCCCATCAACTCAAAATATTCAGATTATGCTGAAAAAAACAAGAGGAGCTGATGTCACAAAATCTCAGGTCATGCCTGGTCATTGTTCAGCAAAGGCTGTGCCTGTTACTCCTAGCATTTCTCATACATCTTTGACAACAGCTGTCACTTCAAAAGTGATTGCCTCTTCCCAGGGTTCTTTAACTCCATTGGCTCCAAACCTTCCTATTAAGCAAGGTATGTTTCAGATTATATATATATATATATATATATATATATATATATATATATATATATATATATTTATTTATTTTTTTTTTTTTTTTTTTTAACAAATAAAGCTTTATATTTGTTTTTAATTTATTTCAGGAAACATTCAGAAAGGGTTTCTAACATTTAGAAGAGATATATAACCAAACAGGAATATTAGTTTTTGCTCAGATAGTTATTGTAATGTAATTTTAATGTAATAACTTTTGAAGGATATGTAAATTCATAAAATGAAAAGAAAATATCGAAAATGAATGCTTTGCCTGTTTTATATTTTTAGCTTTAGTGGAGATTCATTTCTTGATACTAAGATGATTATTTGGACTTGACTTTCAATATGGCAACTTAATTGTTCACATCTGAAGAAAATATTTTTACATTTTCCTCAGATACAAGAAAAACATCTAACTGGTACCACTGATACTAGTACATTTGTTGGGTTTTAGATACTTGCAATAATGGTGACTAATGTTTGCTTTTAGAGATGACTTTAGGCCTTTCATTTTTTTTTCTCAAACACATGAAATAATTACATAATTTAAAATTCTATTTCAAAGTTCAGATTCATATTTGAATGTTGTCTGAGATTTTTAAGCTTGTATTTTAAACATTATAGAAGATGTTGCAATTTTAATAAGTGTCTTTTACAATATTAAAAGCTCCAGAATGTTAGAAGTATGCAAAAAGTTTTTCTGCAAAGTAGTAATGACTGGAAAATGTTTAGTATTCCTCTTTGCTTACTTTACACTTTTACTGTTCATTATAATTGTTTATATCAACTGGTCACATGTTGTAAAGCAGTGGTTTACTTAATTCTGCTAACTTGTTTTAACTAAACTCTATCAAATTTACTGATTTCTGTAATCTAAGTTCCAAAACCAATTATTTTATAATTGCTAGCTTAATGAAACTTTATCAGATATGTTTTATTTACTGTTAATGGTTTTTTGATTTCATTACATTTGTAATTGTTTCTATTATAATTTGTTTAAAAGTTACTGAAATATGTCTTTAAAAGTAAGAAATTATGTTTAGAAAAATATTCTTTATTCCCAAATAATATTTTTTGAAATACAAGAATGACATAAAGATAAAGATGCTCAGTATGGAATAAATATGTTCTTCAAAGCAGTAAATAGACTACTTTCTTTATAATAAAATCATTAATTCATATTTACCTCCTGTTTTTTGTTATGCAACATTTTAAAGTTTTAAAAGCACACTAGAAAATTACTGCTGGTGTCACAGAAAAACATTACTTCAAAGTTTACATGACTTCTCAATTCTTAATCAATAACTTGTTGAATTTTAGCCGAAAAATGTTTAGTAATTAGATATACTATTGCAATGTTTTTCCTATCTACTTGTCATGGCTTTCTTCCACAATCTGATACTGTTTTAATTAATGTTTTTGCACTTGTTACAATAAAATATCATAACCTAATTTTTCCATACAATGTTACTACCTAAAATTTACTTTCCTTAAGATCTTTTAAAATATTAAAGCAACTAACTTTTTTTTCATTTAAGTTCTTTCATCAATCTTAATAGGCATTTTCATTGTTTTCAAAGGGTTGTTTATTGAAAAAAAATTCAATCTGGTTTTGCTTTATGAGATTGATTTGAAAAATAATTGTTTAACTGTTTTTTATGGTTATCAGTCTTTGATTTGGCAAGACAAGATTAGTCATTTTGATCTCAATTTGTTTTTCACTTTCTGGGCAAAGGTTTACAATTATTTTTTTTTGTTGAGAATCTCTACAATTAATGTCTAATGCTTATAATGTTAAAATAGTAAATTAACTTCTAAACTATGCATTTGTCACAAGTTTTTACTTTGTTAATTACAAATGCTAACAATCCAATTTCAATAAGTATCAAAATGTGAAATTTAGAAGCTTAATGAATGAACTTTTACCATTTTAGTAACATTTTAACAATGAGATTAATAGTTACATATGACAATACTAAATTGGAAGATAGAAATTTTAATCTCCACACCATTTCAGTGGTGTTAACAATAACACCACAATAAACAATAGGAAGTGTGAAGTTACAAATTAAAAAACAGAAATAGCAAACATGTATATCGTAAAGTTTTTATCCATTTCTGGGTTTTGGGTTTTAGCAAGGTGTCCATTTTTCAAGATGTAATGGTTCAAGGATGTCACTAATTTATAGAGATAAATGAACAAAAGGATTTTCCTAAAAAAATGGAGCATTTTCCTCTCCATTTGCAGCTTTTTTCTTTTTTTTCTCTTGCTTGTATTGGCTTCAGCTGGCATTTTTTCATCTAGCAGCTGGGGATACGGTGTGGTCAGGGAGTACCTACCTACCTATGTGTTGGGATATCATATATTTAAAATAGAAATATCACATGTGCCCATTGTCTGCAATAATAGAAGATCTGATTTTTTATACATTGCAACCATAACCAAATCAAAACCCTTCTGACCAACACTGATGAAAATATTGTTGTTAATTCTTACATTGTATCTTTAGATAGAAAATTAATTCATATGAAATGTTATCCATCTGTTTTCCTTATACACTAGTCTATTTTCAGAGCACAGAAAAATTAAATGATAAAAAGATTCACTTGACAAATATATTAATGGAAGGCAAACCATTGAAAGGATGAAGCGAATTGATGATATGGTGCTAGCTCGTAAATGAGAAATTGAAGTATTGTCTATTGAATGATTTATTTATTGACATGAGGCAAAATCTCTCCAGATGGGGATATTGATAAAAGGTGCAGTAACAGATGGATAAAGAGTGATCTGGTTGTGAAGAAGTGGCTTTTGTGTCTGAAAGATTTAATCTTGATATGATGTTAAATATAAAAATGGCATGCATGTAGTTTTAGTCTGTCTATTCACAGGTTGCATGAACAAACATTTATTGGTTAATAAGTCTTAAGTGCTGACTACAAATCTAAAGCAATACATTAATATCAGAACCATAACTCTTATGGTAACTTTTTTAAGATTGAATATATAGAGAAAAACTCTTACACAATCACAACAAAGTAGAAATGTTCAGTAATTTTGGATAGAATAAGAACTGCTTTCTTTAAGTTGTTATATTACTGTGTTGGCTAGAACTGATTTTTATTTATTTTATTTTTTACTAAATTTAAGACTGATAATATTTGCTAATACCAATAAGTCATTATATGCCACTGTAAATTGGTTCATTCACAAATTGTTAGTATCAATTATTCTAGCTAGCAATAAATAATTTTTACTTGACAAATCCATCTTTTTGTATTTGTTTCATCTTTCCCTCCTTATGGATTTCAAGAATTAGAATTATATAGGCATTGACTTGTGTCTGTTGCATGACCCTTTCAGGTGGTGGCAAATGGAATTGTGGCAATCATCTAGTTGACTTGACCAAGGAGACATCTAAACCAATGAATGCAAAGGCTTTAGCAGGCAAGAAACTGCTGCTCACTACTCCCTCTTTTGCTTTTGCTTGCTCTTTCTTATTTCTCTGTGTGTATTGTAATCTTTTAGTTAGTAGTCCACTCTCCTTTCTCTGTTTTCTTCACAATATTTCTCACTGTAAAACCAAGGAATCCCTCAATCAATTTTTTATTCTTTAGTTCAAATCTTTCATGTTAGAATTTTAAAAAAAATATATATATTAAGATTTGCATAATGTGCAGCTTGAAATTACTTTTCATAAATGATCATATTAGTTCTTTTTTTTGTCTTTGGATGAATAAGTGGCTCATCTTAAAGTAATGCTAAAAATCTCAAATGTTCTCTTGCAATTGCTAATCTTTATATAACTATGTTGAATCCATTGTTAAGTTTGGTAAAGTTTTTTTCTTTGCAATTTTGTCAGTATTTAAATGTTGAAACAACACCAAAATAACTTTTTTTGATTTAAAAATGTAGAAATTTTTAACATGTAGTATACAGACAAATAATTGATTAAATAAAAAAAAACAAAACCTTTGCCTCCTTTGGAATTAAGTTCAGTTTAATTTCAGTTAAAAAAATGGTTATAGAGTTTTAATGTTAAATCTATTTTTTTTTATATTAGTGTTTAAATTAGTTTAACAGTTGATTAAAAAAACAAAACTTGAACAAGTGTTTTTATTTTTTTTTTTTTTTAACTTTTGACATTTTAAATTCCCATATAAAGCTGAAACACAAGTTAATGAAAGAAAAAAACTGTTTAACATTTTTACTGGTAAATTTACAATAGTTGTGATTGGACACATTTAATTAAAAAAAATACTGACACTTTTTTCCAAGTTTCTGGCAAAATTTAAATGTGATTTTCACTGTTAATTTTACCCTTTGGCTATTTGGTGTAAAGATCCTCAATAGCTAATGAGTATTATCAGACAATGTACATTTCTACAATATTTGAAAAATAAAGGTAGTGGGATTTTTTTTTTTTTCTAAAGCAATAAAAATATGGCTCCTCCCCTTCAAAAAAAAAAAAAAAATGGACTTAGCTGTAGTCAAGCATGGTTATCCCCTCCACCATTATTATTATTATTATTATTATTATTATTATTATTATTCCAGTATTAAAACAAAATAATTTGTTTTTAACAAATATGGATATTTGTTCTTACGAGTTAATTTGAACTTAAATTCTGTGAATGATATTTTAAGATGTTGCCTATATATATTTCATTTGTTATTAAAAAGGCAGGATAAATATATATTGCTAATATTTCATTGTATCTTATGAATTACATAAATCTCAGATCCTGTCATACTTAAAACTATCTTTCCAGATTCTATCCAATGGATTTTTAATGATAGTCTTCTCTCCAATATTCTATTCTCACTTCTTGTTTGGTGACCTTGTATTTGAAAAATGAAATTCTAATTCCATATTTTATCAAAATCAGGAAGTATGCATATCATAACATTTTTCTCAAACTGTTTTTAAAAAGAAGTCTGACTTTTGTGTGTTTAATGTTTTTGCACCAATCTTTATAAAATTCTAAAAGGGGCTTAATTCTTTTTCTTTTACCAATTAATTTGCCTTCCCTTGAGTTCTAACTTTTCTTACAACATTATCCAACAATTGTTAGTTCATCTTCTCATTTTCTCTTTTGGAATGGTCCTTGTTTCCCTGCCACTTTTTCTGTGCTTTGCTTGGCAGGATGCAGCTTTTTTCTTTATCTCAATCCTGTCTATGATTTTAGTAAATTATATGATAATTTCTTTTTAATTAGTTTTGTGTGTGTGTGTGTGTGTGTGTGTGTGTGTGTGTGTTCCCACTTCTTTGCATTTCATTCTCTTATGTGTTGTATGTTGATTTCATGCTCACTTACTTGTTGTTGTGTGCTGAAATGTTTTTTTTCAACTCCATCTCTTGCAGTGATTTTTCTTTTCAGTGTTGTTTCATATTAGATTATTTTCTTATCTATCCTGTGTATGGTTTCCTTCTTTTTTTCTTCTTCAGTATTATTTGATGTTCTCGTTTATTTGTTGTTGTAAATTCTTTGTATTTTTAAAAAAAAAAAAAAAAAAAGAAAATGATTTGGCATGTTTTAAATATGTGATTTAGGTTTTAATATACCAAATAAATGAAAATTGAGGAATTAGTCATTATAACTTTAGTGTGTGTGGCTTTTGCAATCCTGAAAGTGTGAATAGCTTTTCATTGAGGGAAATAAATTAGTATAATTTAACAAAAGTATTTATTTCTTCCTAAATGCAATACTCGTAATTACTGAAAAAAATGTAAGTTTATAAGTTGAATTTGAAATTAATTACAGTACATTTGTTAGCTCATTCTTACTAATTGCACTTAGAGATAATAAAATGTTTTAGAAATTATCTATTTTTCATTAATCTCTGGATTCATTCCTAAGCCATGTTTGTTGAAAAGCATTCTCTAAATTTTATTACTTTATAATATGCATCATTACTTATTACTGGATTGGCCACTTTCCCAAAATCTGATCAAATAACTAAGCATCAAAATTTTTTTAAATCGTGTCTTGGTTAGGAAGAGAACTTTTCAGCACCTCTTTGTACATGGAAATTATTGTCTAAATTATGCAAAAAAGAAAATAACATTGACATCTCATTTTAACAGATATGTCTACCAAAATTACACAAAAATATCTTGAAATGCTAAACAGTAAATTTATTCAATAAAATTGCCATTGGTTTCAGCCATAGCCTCCAGACGACTTTGGAATCTCCTGCATACCTTCTGGACATTCCCCTTGTTTAAGTTGGTGGATGCTGCCATAATCCTTGCCTTCAGTTCATCTTTGGTGTTACAAGGAGTTTTGTTGGTCTTTTGCTCAACTACACCCCACATATAATAATCAAGGGGTGCAGTCTGGGGAGTTAGGTTACCATATGTAAAAGGTGATGTGGTCACAGAAATTGTCTGACAGTCATGACTGGGTTCTCCTGTTTGTGTGGCATGATGCAGAGTCCTGTTGCCAGACATAGGGTCTTCCAGCAGTCACCCTCCTTACTCAGGGCAGCACTAACTCCTCAAGGCATTTGATGTAGGCCTCTGTGTTGAGTCTGAAGCCCTCACCAACAAATTCGGTAGTTCTTTTCTTAACAGAATGACCAGAGTGAGTTTTCCAAGCTGTTGTACCTTTGTAATCACCATTAGACTCATCCAACACTTTCCGAATACTCTGCATTGTTGTCAGGTTGATATTCAAACACTCTGAAATGTATGTGGAACTTCTGGTATGTGTCATGGTGCTCTTTTTTTTTCTTAGACAGTGTGCTCAACTGACCCTACTATACTGTGCAGTCGAAAAAAACAAACAACACACACACACGCAAAATTAAAAATATAAAATGGTGACAAGTTACCCATCACACCCTGTATTTTAATATTTCTTTCTTTTTGAGTTTGTATTCAAAAATGTATATAATTTTATTGTACGTAATCTATAATATAGTCTGGTTTATGGTTATTTTACACTTGTAAAATAAATTCTGCTCAAAGGATTTTGATTTCTAACATCATTTAATAAGAATATTTTCCTTATAAATTAAAACAAACTTGCATTGATATTCAGGCAGTTTAATTTTCTTTCTGTAGTATCGTATACAAATTAGATAGATAAGTATAGAGAACAACTGGCGAATATAGGGAATGCCTAGCAAACCCTTTGCGAAACGTAACACAGAACTGTACTACCACTGCTATTACACAGAGATATTCAAAATATAACAATGACATTGCTGATAGGATTGCTAAATTTGCTGGATGACCCAGAACCATAGAAAATGGCATAATATGCAATGGGTAGACAAATCAGAGCCCCCATAACTATGTCCTTTGCAACGAAAGAAAAAGTATGGTATAGAAAGAATAAAGAAGCTGATCCAGAAGAAGCAAATTTCTTGATACAAAAAGGACACAACATGGCTATATTTGAGTAAAAGTGACAAAATATACTGGCACATGCAGATCAGTTCAGAAGCAGAAATGAACTGGATGATATAGAAATGTAAGATCAAGAACAAGAGACAGAAAGTTACAAAAGTGGAACGGAGTAGGGAATGGAAGAAAGTGAGAATGAAAAGACAGACGAGTATGAAGAAGAAAATGGACTGAGATCACCATTAAAGAGAATACAAGAAAGACAAGAGGAAGGGCAACACAGTACGAAAATAATCAGGGATAGTAAAAGAAAAAACAAGAGTATATGACCTCCTCGATTCAGGGAGGTGTAGTATCGTATGCAAATTAGAATTGACAAGTATAAATAGAGAACAACTTGCAAACATGGGGAAGACCTAGCAAACCCATTTATTAAACGTAACATGGAGAACTCTACTACAACTGCTACTACACGGAGATATACAAAACATAACACTTTGTTTTCTTTTTTTTTTTCTTTTTTTGTAACTATCTGAAATATATACCGCACTGTTATGTGTGATTGCTTATTAATTTGTACCAATTGATTTTACAATATACAGTAGCATCCAAAACTAAGGGACAAAATTTTAAAACCTAATATTTGTTAGAATAACAACTGTGAAAAGCTGAAATTTTGACAACTGGTAGTCGTTATCATCCATAATAACATACTAAAATTTGAATCATTTGCAAAGGATAGAAAAAGAATTAAAACAATTATTTATTTATTTTCAAATTTGGAACGTCCAAAAGTAAGGGACAAAATTGAGAAAAACAATGTAAGCGGCAAAAAAAACAATAAAAATACATGTACAATCAATATTTAGTAAATGATCCCTTGCTCTCAATGACAGCTGCACATCTTCGACTACAAGAACGAATCAGTTCTTGACAATCCTCGATACTAATTTTAGACCATTCTTCTTGAAGCTTCACCCACAAATCCTCCGTGTTAGTGGGATTTCTTTCCATAACTTTCACTCCTAAGGTCTTCCAAAGATTTTCTATTGGATTTAAGTCAGGACTTTGCGGTGGCCAATCCATAATTTCCAAATCTTGCTCGCTAAGGTAACTCATTACCACCTTTGCCTTGTGACATGGGGCATTATCTTGCATAAAGGTAGCCCTATCGAAACCTGAATTCTGTATGATTGGCACAACATGATCTTGAACAATGTTTTTATAGATCTGCGCGTTTACACGAGTTTGTAACCGGACAAGAAGCGTTGTACCTTGGCTAGAAAACATTCCAAATACCATGACGCTTCCGCCCCCAAACTTGACAGTTTTCTTAGTACACTTTGCACTTAATCTTTCACCAATACGTCTCTTTAACATTGTTTTTTTTCCATCATTTCCAAGTAAATTAAACTTGCTTTCATCACTGAAAAATACTTTTGCCCAATTTTCATATGTCCAAATTACATACCTGTTTGCAAACTCTAATCTCTTCTTATTCTTCGAACTAACAAGTGGTTTCTTCCCTGGGGTTCGATTAAACAGCCCTATTTCTTGCAGTCGTCTACACACAATCTGTCTTGACACATTAACACATTAGATACTATTCATAACCCTTTTAATTTCTGTGCAAGACTTAAAACGGTCCTTTAATGACATACGCTGCATTATTCGATCTTCTCTTGCCGAAGTTTTGCGGGGTCTGCCGGTTTTAGAAGCACTAACTATTTTGCCAGTATCATTGTACGATTTAACAACCCTGCCTCCAACACTCTTGGAACATTTCACTTTCTCTGAAATCTCTCTAATGGTGTGCTTTTCCTTGTGTAGCTTCACAATAGCTTGTCTCACAGAGTAATCAAGTTTTTGGCGTTTCGCCATGGTGTCAGCTGATGCAACGTTTACAAATAACTAAGTAAGACTTATTCTTTAGAGGAAATCAAAAAATTTGAATATAGCATACTGTTTACATTGTTTTTCTCAATTTTGTCCCTTACTTTTGGACGATCCTATTTTGAAAATAAATAAATAATTGTTATAATTCTTTTTCTATCCTTTGCAAATGATTCAAATTTTAGTATGTTATTATGGATGATAACGACTACCAGTTGTCAAAATTTCAGCTTTTCACAGTTGTTATTTCTAACAAATATTAGGTTTTAAAATTTTGTCCCTTAGTTTTGGACGCTACTGTATATATAATTTGCATTATACTATTTACCACAAGTTTTATCATTATAAACTAACTAAATTTTCTAATCTAAAAGATATTTTATAATATTAGAAGTTTTATATGCAGTACTGGAATATTAAAATTCATGCTAATAAATAGCAATGTATTTGTATTTTTTGCTTTACTTGATAATTCTTTTAAGAAAATTATAAATATTACACTAGAAGTAAATAGCTATATTTTTCTTTAAACCAAGATTTGTTTAGATTTTGAGCAAGAATTTTTAGTCATACTACCACTCACATCTACATGTATTGTTTAAAAAATAATTTGAATATAATCTTATATGAACACAAAATGATCATCTCTCCCAATTACTACATTTATTTTTTTTTCCCAATCTTCACTAGAATGCTACATTCAAATGTTTAGTATTAATGTAATAGGTTTTAAAAGTGTTATGAAGACCGACAAGATTAGAAAAGCTTTGTCTGTTTTAAGAAATCTGAATCTTAATCTCAAAACTTTAGAAAAATTCAAAATTATTGGCATTTTTGCCTGTGGTTAAACACTGCGAATTTATATATTCATTCTTTATACCATGAGAAGTAATAGTATATAAAAATTTGTTTTTGAAATCAGTGGATACTATTTTCTAAATAAAAGCACTTGTAACACTACCTCATTGTCTTCCTGTGCTAAAAGTGTTGCTCTGTTAATCAATCTTCCCCACCCATATTGTGTTTAAGTTTTTATCTGAGGAAGTTTTAGGCAAAGCTGTTTGAAATACCCTCAAGAATGAAGAGGTAAAGTTACAGGAAAATGAAAGAAATACGTTTCTTCAGTTGACCAAATCATCTATGAGGGGGTAGTGGAGAGGAGTGACAATGTCAACTTGCAGCATTTTCCCTGACAACTGGACTACAACTGTCTCAAAGATCAGAATAAGCCTGCTTACATTGAGATGTTCCAGTGTATCCAGACTGGGGTTAATTTGAGTATCAAAAACCTTGAATCTATCATTTTCCAAACTTCTCCAAATTTGGCCTGTTTAAATCTTCCAGATTCTGATGTTTCCATTGGTTAAGGAACTTTTTGTCATACTTGGGTCTATCAACCAAATCACTTTCACTAATTCACATTATCTGGTTAGATTATAATTTCCCCAGGATCACTTTATCTGCCCATACAATGTCAACGTGTGACAAAAATTTTTCTTATGAATTATCTTCTTATCCCATGAATGAAAAATTAATGATAGTAGCAATCCATCATTTTGTTGCAAAATAAATTCTTTAAGTTTTTTTTGTCTATCTAGTTTCACTTCTGCCTTTCCCAGTAAAGCACTTAACATTTAATGTTATCAATTAGCTTTCCTGGACTGTTTCTATGATTGTGATGGAAATTTTAATCCTAATTCTCACATGGCCTGGTAAGAAATGTTGCCTATACTTTCAACTTTTTCTGTTTTTTTTAAGCAGACATTTTTCAGAGTTTCTTGTCTTTGTTAAACATTCAGAGTTCTAGTTTCTTGCCAACACTTCTTAATTGCTTATCGTATTTTACTTCCTTTGGCTTTAGTTCAAAACAATGTATTTCATTTTAAGTAGAAAAACAGACCCCAAAGTACTTTTGTTATACTAGTAAAATTCAGATTACCTAGTTTTGTTATATAGGCTTTTCAAATTAATCTAAGTTAAACATGTTCCAGTTGGCTACCAGGTGTAGATATATTTACATGTAAATTCCACACGAGTAATACTGACTAATTTTAATAGTCATTTTCAAAAAAAATTGTAAAAGCACATTTATAATTTATTATGTAGGTTAAATTAAGAACTTTTTATGGCAGTCAATGGAAAATATCTACAAGAATCTAAATGTTTTGTTGCAGTTGCCATTTTTATTAAATTTTGAAATGAAGGATTCTTAAAGTTGATAGGAATAACATGTAGAAAATATAAGCTGTGAATGAGATATCAAGTCCTTAATATGAAAACCTTTTGAATTATTTTTTTTCATCTTTGTTATTTTTTATTTAGTTAGGAGATGCAACCACCAAATTCAACGGGCTTTGAAGAAAGCTGGAGAATGTTTCCGCATAAATGTATTAAAACAACCAAGTTGAAAGTAATGATCTTAAAAATATGCAGAATAATTAAACTTTGCATGATTAAATAAAAAAAAATTGAGTAAAATTTGGATTGTAGGTGTTCATGTGTGTATAATTTAAATATAGAAATTATATATATATATATATATATATATATATATATATATATATATATATATATATAGAGAGAGAGAGAGAGCATGTGGCTGAGTGATTAGAACATTTGATCCGGGTTCAAATCTCACCATGATTGATTTGTCAGGAAGGTGACCTTGATGTTATCTGCCTGGAGCAGGTGATCTCAGCATGCGGCATCTTTGGAAAGTGCCTGAAAACCATACTACGGATTGACTCAAGCCTTGTGAGTGAAATATAGTAGACTGAACACTTTGGGAGTCGATTGTTGTGCTAGCACAAAGGTACAAGTCGTCATGACTGAGGGTTTGAGTGTTATGGCCTTTTTTAGACTGTTGATCATGCTAGATAAGACACTTTCTCCCAGAAACTGTAACTAAGGTCTGCTCAGCCTAGTTGGAGTATAAACAACAAGTGGGCTTTTAAACAAACACAAATGTGCCTGAGCAGGCGTCTGCAAGAGGGATTAGCTAGCCACTCTAGTAGACTGGCATCCTCGGATACAGGTGGCCAGCTATTTCGAAAAAAGAAAAAAGCTATAAGTTATTGAGAAGAATAAACAAGCATGTTATTAGTATGTGATTGCAATGTTGTAGATTATGTTTTCATATTTTATATTAGAAAAATATAACTGAAGGTGATTTATTTACTGTTTTTAATAGAAAAATAGGAATAAGGCAACCTGTTCAACAAAAACAAAATCAGTAATAGTAAACAGTAATAATCAATTCATTGTGTGAAATAATCTTTTCTATTGAATGATATTAAACTAACATGAATATCTAAAAAGCTAATTTGTTTTAAAAAATTGTACTAATGGTACTAATGAATGAAATCATTATTTTCAGGTCAATAATTTTGGATGCAGCTGTTGTATATTTTTATAAATATTTTGTATACTCTGTGTCTCTTCAGCCTGTTAAATGTTAGATTATCCAAATTTAAAATAAACCTATCATTTCTGCAGCCATCAGCATGTCAACCCAAGTGGCAACTTCATCAAGTGGATCTGTCACACAAGCCACTGCATCTGTAGCAGCAGTCACTAGTGCAACATCATCTATCCCTTCATCTATTCCAATTGGTAAGTTTCCCTTCTCCACTAGGATAGAAAAATTGTTTTGCAAAGAAAGCTTTACACATCCTTTTATGTTGGAATTTTGCATTTCTTAGATAATTTTGATGTAAATCCAACAATTGTGCAGACCAAAATTGTAATTTTTATAGAAAAAGAAATAGTTTTGCTATTTCAAGAGTATAATTGTCATTTATAAAATTCAGATTTGTATAGCAGTTCTGTAATTGCTACATATTAGAATAATATAAAGGGTTTTTTTTTATAATGTGTTAAAATATTAAATACAAAGCAGTGCAATTTTCATTTGTATAGTTTCAGTTTTTCAAGTATGAATAAAGTAATGATACCTTGCTATTAATAAACATTGTTTATAGATTTAGTTTGAATAGCTTTTCATTTGTCATCTCCTTCATACTCATTATCAATAATTTCTCTCTTATTAATGAGTCTAGTAAATTAATTAATAAGTAAAAAAGTGACCTTTTTATTTTAAATTTTGTTCAAACTAAGAAAACTGACACAAACTGACAGTTACCAAATGATTACATTTTTTTTCAATAAATTGTCTGGCTTTATAAATGTTGATTATAAAAATATTTAAATTAAACTTATTGCTATTTTTAGGTTCTGATGTTTGGATAAAAATGTGATTTCAGCATAGTCTATTTCAAATGTACATATTTACATTCTCATATTTCCAATTGTTTTTCAGCTAAAGTGACCCCACAACGTCAACAGGCTTCATCTCATATCACCCAGGCAGCTGCTGTAGCTGCTGCTGCTGCTGCTGCCCCTCACCCAATTGTTCAGGAGGCTCGTACAGAAACTCAACCTCATGGCCAACCAGCACAAACTGCAGTGACAAGCAATTACTTTATTCCAGCTCAGGCTTCGCGTGTATCTGCCAGTTCAACACCACTGACTACTAATATATCTGCGGGTACCCCCACAGTCACACATGCAGACAATCGACAAGATGGGTATGTGATGCAATGTTTTGTGTTAGGATCAATTTTTCTTTTATACCTTACAAAATATAATTCACGATTTTTAAGAAATTTTTGCCCCACCCCACTTTTTTCTTTTTCATTTTTTTTTTTTTTTTTTTAGAGTTAAATTAAATTTAAACAAAACATCTTCAAAAATTTTTTATTCTAAGTCTAATTCAGTATATTATTTCAACATTATTTAAAGTATAATGTATTCCTGTTTCAAAATTGTATTAGGTACTAAGGAGCTTCATATTGTATGATATGAATAAACTATTTTATGAAGAATATTATTGTATTAAAGAACTAATTACTGAAATGCTGATAATTTCAAAAGATTTTAATCACAAATTTTTCTTTTGTTTCCAACTGTTTATAAGGAAAATTTGATTTATGAAGATTTATGTAACATAATTTAACAATATAATATTTTTTGAAATTTGCTTATCTCTGTGATTCTTGAGATTTTATATTTAGCAGTTACTGTGATTTTTTTTGCCTTTTTTTTATATAAAGAAAGGAAAGCTATCTGATTTTTGTGAACATATTCAATTAGGGAATAAAGAAATGATATCATAAGAGAAAATTAGTTATAATTATATTGCATAAAGATTTGACTAATGGGAGAAGAATTGTACTTTGGTTTGAATTATCAATTTCTGAGGTATGTAGTAAAATTTTCTACTAGCCCAGAAATTAGAACAATAAATCTTTTATTAGATACAGATATGCTAGGACTAGTGTCCTCATCTTGATTGTTATAGTCAAAACTTTTCAGTCCTTCTAGCCTCTGACTCTTTTCAAATGTCTGTCATAGTTGTTAACCTTCTAGGAATTTTGAACTGGCTCAAGGTAGATTGTTCTCATTCCATTGTCTCTGCAAGTCTGTGTAGTATAATAATAATAACTCTTTTTATATATATATATATATATATATATATATATATATATATAAAGCGAACTCTCTCTCTCTCTCTCTCTCCCCCTTCTCCGGACTGTTCTTACATGAGCCGCCAACTTTCACTACTAAACTCAGAAGTTATCTCTTCTTCCTTTATCATTCTCCTTCATCTCATGACAGTTACTTACTAGATAGAATTTCTGATAGTATACATAAGACCCTCTCTCTACACTCACCTTTGTGTTTGGCAATTTCAATGCTCATCATGTCAGGTGGCTTAATCACTCTGCCATTGACCTCACTGCCATCCAAACATTGAACTTTATTACTCAATGATGAACAAGCTTCTCTACTTGGTCTCTTCCTTACCTCCTCTTTGGACACGTTGTGCTCTGTAGCTCTGTCATTTTTGCAACTTGACAATACAGTAGTGTCTATAGATATCTTTTTCTATTCACCCATCAGTCACAAACCCCAAACCATCTTTGTTACCATTCTACTGATTGGGACTCTTTTTGTGATTTTCTTCGGTATATCCCTTGGAATATTTTTAATCATCAAAATTTTCATGCTAGAATGGAAATACCCAATGAAACCATAATCTTCTCCTTGGTTCTCTCCTGCCTGTTCAGCTGCTATAGCCCACAGGAATCACTTGTCCTGTTTATCCCGAGCAACAGGTTTGATTGTAACAGATGTTTCGTTGTCTTTGCTTTTAATAAGTGCAAGCGTGTCCTCAAAGAAGCAAAGTCACTATTTGCTGATAGAATGAGGCACCATGTTGACATCCACTGCAGATTAAGTAGATTACTTTGCACAAAAATTCTCAAACTCTACTGTTGACTCATCTGGAATATCTCTACTCAACTTCCCCCCCTAGAATGGAGGCTCTATTAAGTTATATGCACGCAGCTCCATCCTTGTTTTTTTTTTCTGTCACTTTTAAATGAGCATGTGGATTTAGCAATATCACTCCAGCCATCCTGAAGAAATGTGTTCCTGAACTGGCTCCTGTTCTCTTCAAACTTTATAACAAATATTTCACTGCTTTTTGCTTTCTAGCTTGTTAGAAGTTCTCTGTAGTTCTTGCTTTTAAGATTTCCAGGGAACCCTCTGACCCCTCAAATTATCATCTTATTAATTTCTTACCTCTTCTTGGCAAAATACTCAAGACTCTAATGAATGCTGAATTGGTTAAGCATCTTATTTCACACTGCTTCTTTTCAGACAAACGATATAGCTTCTGTTTCCCCAGGTCTACCATGGATGTGCTAAGTCATCACTGAATTTGCCTATCAAGTTTTGTGAAGCTCATGCTGTGGTTCTAAATATTTAAAAGGTGTTCAACATGGTTTGGCATTCTGGCTTTCACTGCAAGCTATATGGTGTCATGGGACAAATGCTTGGCTTAATCCAATCATTCCTAATAAATTGTGTAATAAAGGTCATGTTGAATGGTCATGCTTCCAAATCATTTCATGCTAATTTTGGGGCCCCCAGGGCTCTATCCTTGGATCTGCACTGTTTGAGATCTTCATCAACAATCTTCTTGATGTCATCAGTTTCCAACTAGGTATTAATGCAGATGATAACTATTTACTAGAGTTGGTTGGTTTGGCAATTTGTTTCGGTTTCCGGTTTTTATTCCTTGATATCATGGTTTTTGATTCGGTTTTTAATGTAGAATTTTTGCTTTCTGAGGAAGCCATTCATTTTCTTGTGTAATGATAGCATTTCCAATATCTGATTTCATTTGAGATTGAAGAAATTGCAAGTTGAACGAACTGAGTTGCAAATTTATAAAATTTGCAACTCAGTTCGTTCAACTTGCAATTTCTTGTGTATTTCTGATCCAATCTTAAAAATATTCATATGGCTGGAAAGATGATAAAATAATCTTTCTAAATATGTAATTTGTATGTGCTTTTATTCATTGAATTATTTTTTTACAGTGAGTTAAAACTGTATTGCTTCGTAAACCAGCCAAAAATGCAAAATGTTTTTTTTTTTTTTTTTTTTTTGAGACTAAATTTTACACATTACTTTGTTTCGCAAAATCAAAGTGAGGAATCTTTATCAATATTCTTGAAATTATACACTCAATTTGAAAACAACTTAGACTACAACCAGGATGATGTTCATTTCTTCTCTGATCCAAGAAAGCGAAAAACAATTCTTTTCTGGTACACCAGTCAACTGTTATTGGGGTTTTGCAAATAAATTTATTTTGAAAAAGGAAAATCAATGAGTTATTTTTCCCCATGTTGTGTAGGAAACCTACCACCCCTCTTGAAGATGAACTTGTCTACAAACAAAGACATTAAATAGTGGCATGTCAAAAGACAGACAGAGTCGGAGAAGTTCTTGGCTGAGCTAGTTATAGACTACTCGGGCGATTTCTGTACCTACTTACAAAACCGAATAAACCCCTTTTTATTGTTAGATTATTTGGCGTTTGTCTTTATTAACCCCAAATCAACATCATAACAGTGGCGACGAGAGATTCGTTCATCACGCTGAGTGGAGAATTTTTCAACTCTAGGTGGACTATATAATTTTTTTTTTCTCGCACTGAAAGAAAAAAAAAGACAATACGTCAAACTTTGTTCTTTCATGAAGAAACAGGATTTCAATGTGCCAAAAAGAAGTAAGACTTGTGCTTATTGTTGGATATATACGTGTTTTTCCCTTTTTTGACTGTTTTCGAAAAGTGTTTTGTGTAATCTATTACGCATAATGGAAGATTTGATTGCATTAACGAAAACTCTAGTGCAAAGTCAAATTCAGCAACAAGAGCAACAAAGATTGCAACAAGAGCAACAAAAATTGTTTTGGGAACAACTATTGGATTTACAAGTTCAGCAGCGAAATAATACAAAGGCTTTATTTGAAGCGATTTTACTTAAGAATCCAGTAAATTCGTCATTCACGGCCGAAGGTATTGCTAATTCTATTACTGAGTTCAAATTTAACCCAGATGAGGGAATAACATTTCCTGCGTATTTCAGAAGATTTGAAACAATATTTGAAAAAAAATGTGAAGGTTGGACTGATGAACAAAAAGTGAGTTTACTTTTACAAAAGTTGGGTACAGATGAAAATAAGTATACGAATTTTGTCCTTCCAAGAAAAACTAGTGACATTTCTTTCAAGAAACTGTTAATACTTTATCTAGTATTTTTGGTAGCGAAGTTAGTTTGTTTCATACTCGTTTCTCGTTTTGAATATGGTAAAGCTTGACAATGAGGATGTTGTTACGTATGCTGGAAATGTTAACAGAATGTGTGAACGTTTTATGTTACATGATCTTTCAATTGATCGATTTAAATGTTTGATATTCGTTCAAGGCTTGACTTCTAGCAAAGATAAGGACATAAGGTCCCAAATATTGGCAAAACTCAAACAAAATTCGAGATTACTTTGCAGAAGGTTACGGAAGAATGTCAAAGAATTGAAAACTTAAAACATGACAATACGCAAATTGAAGAAAAAGACGATCCCGTGTCCATGCTATTTGACCAAAAAGGGAATAGTTAATAAAAACGTTAAAAAACCAACGTGCTTTTGATGCGGTGGTGGTCATTTTAAAAGTGAATGTTTTTTCATGACAAAATTGCTATTCGTGTGGCAATAAAGGCCATATAAGTACTCATTGTAAAAGCAAAAAAAAAAAAAATTAAGTCAAAAAAAGATAATGTGAATATTGTATTTTCACGTCAGGAGATTGAGGAGGGCAGAAAAGAAAATTCTGCACAGCTAAAAATTAATGGAAAAAATGTTAAACTACAGCTAGATACTGGAAGTGATATTTCCATTATTAATACAGCAACATGGATTAAAATAGGCAGACCTTTTGCTTAAAAAAGACTGAAAAAGTGGCTCAAGGATTTCTGGAAGAAAATTCATTTTCAAGGTGAATTTTCTTGTAATATTTCATTTGTTGGTAAGACACTAAAGTCTAAAGTGTATGTGCTACAAAATGCTTCAAATTTGTTTGGAACAGATTGATTATACTGTTTAATTTATGGAACTCCCTATAAATTCTTTTTTTGCAATAGAGTTAATGTTTCTTCTTGATGTAAAAATCGGG